AATTTAGGACATATACAACTAGTAGAGTCTTGGTCACGACCACCTAATGCCAAAGTTCCATTAAAGAGCGTTTCCACGTGGAAGTACCTTCTCAAGGAATATAAGATTTTCATGAGGCCGATCTTGAGTTGTCATCCAAATACGAATTCCTTCATTAACAAAAATATTATTAATATAAAACGTTTCAAATTCGGATTTTCTGCTACGCGTATTTCTTGAGAAACAAAATCCTAAGCTCTTAAGTTAAGAACAAGACCTGAAAATGTCGTCCGACCTGGCAGACGAATCGCAATTAAAAAAAAAAAAAAAAAAAACGTTGTGATATTCGACTTCGAACCTCCCCCCTCCCCCGCCCCTACAAGCCCCACGCCCTTTTTCGTCACCCCCAACTGGCAACGAGGAGCAACGACATCAACAGTTGGTGTCCTGGTACCTCGAAGAGAAGGGCCAACGGCACACTCCAGCAACGTTTCCATTGCACCGTTCACAGAACTGCCACACACTGGCACCCACGCTTCTGAGTCGGACATCGCTGACAACCTTGCAACCCGAATGTCCTTCGCTGGTCCACAATGACGGCATAATTTTGGAAAAGTCTGGAAAAAAATGTCTTCCCCGACGTTTTTCATCCTCTTTGGTGGGGTCCCCTCGTTTAATCTGCGAAATCTTCTAAGTGTCATTTCTACAATTTTTTTTTTTTTTTTTTTAATTTTAAAAAAACGTATTTTTCCAAGGTTTTTTCAGTGGGGTTCAACCCTAACGTTATACAAGGACCATGTCCCACGTGCGCACCGTTTAGTTGAGGCAACTCAAAGGTGTGACAACATAAATTGCATTTATAAATGACACGGATACAATTGTTATTTTTTTCACAATTGGAATGGCTTACGAATTCTTCCACAGCAGAAAAACGCCCTTTGGAGGAACAAGAGGATCGTTGAGTTGGTTGTCTCGAAAAGATAAGATAACTAACTGAAGGGAAAGTCACGATGGTCAGTGATAAAACCTTGCTCTCTCGTAACGGTGCGGGGAGGCTCTACACACTGGGTGCAAGTAGCCAAACTAGATTCCAAAGCAGGGTCCATAGTTGTTAGAACTAAAAGAATTGACAAAAACAACGTCATCTACGACTGCCCAGTTGGCATAGAGCCCGCTCATAAATTGGTCGTGTTGCCTCTACACACTAGGTGGAGATCAGCGGACTCTTCATATGTGACATGCCTGCTGGATTACAAACCCAATGTGGGATATAAAGCGCAAGTCAAAACGACCTCCATCCCGTTGGAAGCGAAGAGCAAGTGGATGATGAAAACGACTGAAAGGTCATCCGCAGTGTCTCAAGTTACGACAACCTCCTTGATGGGGATGTGGGCGAGCCTTCGGTCAATATCCTCAGCTAAATTTCGTAGCCTAACGTGACTTCAATCTCATAGAGTTATGTCAACGACAAAGTGGTAGTCAGATAACTGGATGAATGCGAAATCAGTATGATGTAGATGCAAGAAAAAAGAAGAAACAACAACACATCTATGGTGGGAATGTTTAAAGTCAAAAAGGATTTGGCCATGGTGGAAAAGGTTATGGAATAAGTTTGTGGGAGTCAAGTTTGAGTGGGATGAACGATTTGTGGTTGAAGGAGTAGTGGCCAATGTAGGTGAGATAGGGAAAGGATGGTGCTATGTGACACTGGTTTGCAGGGAAGCTATAATGTATGTTATTTGGTTGTTCAGAAACGATCGACTCTTCCGTAACGGCAGTTATGAACCTCATACTCTCGAACATCAGAGCACTCATTTGGTAAGATTGGAGGAAAACCATCCGGGTCAAGCACAAGAGGATTGTCAGGACGTGTTTTTTCAATTCACGAGGAAACCAAGGGAGATTGCTGAAATCGACTCCACATGGGATTCGCATAGAGCCTTGGCTCATGGGACGACGGCCCCCATGAAGTGCAGGATTCTGTTTGGTCGCTTGGTCCAGTTGAGTAACCCATGCGGTCAGTCTATTTTGATTTATTTGGTCATAATTGAATTCTTGAATAATTTTGAATGGTCTGTAGAATCTTGGCATTTCACTCAATACCCATATAGGAAGTAGTATAGCAAGTTCGTTGGGCTAGTGGAACACCTATTTCAGGTGCCCCTGGGTGAAAGGGTCAGTTAGCTTGTTGTATTCAAAGACTATATTATACCACTAATACCTCCACCAGGGTTGGAAAATTAGGGAAAAGTGAACGTTTCATTTTCCCCAAAGAGTTTGGAGGTATCACAGGCTCGGCATCAGTTGTATTTCCCATTACCAAAAAAAATAAAAACGAGAAGAAAAGAAAGAAAGGAAGGACGTCGGGAAGGCTGTGAAGGAGATGTGCTCACATCAGAACTCAAAGAAACGCATCTACCCAGAAACATAGCCAGTTTCGTTTTTTGTATGTGTTTTGCTTTCTTTTTTTGGTAATTCGCATTTAGTGCCCTGCCAACGAGAGGCAAGGCGCATTCCACGGGCAACTGACACTTTGCAACGGGGGGCGCATTCTCACTCGTACTCCAAATTTTGTATCCAGTTGCTTTCACGTGC